TTTATAGTCATAGAAACTATTTAGAGACACACATTTCTTAATTAGCAGTACTTATAGTTTGTATTCTTGCTAACCATGCAGCCATGATGGAGTTACTACTGACCTGTAATAGGCTGTATGTACATCGTTCGTGTTCTGTGCATAATGAACTACAGTAGCTATGACCCGGCGCAAAATCCGCAGCTGCAAAGACGAACTGTCGAACTAGCCTGCGTGCAGCCTGACTTTAAATGGAGAGAAGTCAGTCTGCGAATCAGGGAACAATACCGTGTTCGCGCCATCTTTTGAATTGCATGGATTTCTGTATTCAAACGTGATTGGCTATTGCATGCTCAAAAGCCTAACACACACGCTACGATTGGCCAATTCGTTAATATATATTTGGTTCAAACAACATTCCAGAATGAAAAAAATGGCGGACAAAAACACAAAGAGCAATGTTGTGTGTAATTTATGCACAAACCCATACAAAAGATATGAAAGGGTTCTCATTGAGGTTCCCAAGACGCCATTTTGCTAAATATATTATTTTGTTGAACTGAATCGATTAACGAATGGCCAATCGTAGCGCGTGTATTAGGCTTCTGAGCAATAGCCAATCACGTTTGAATACAGAAATCCATGCAATTTAAAAGATGGCGCGAACACGATATTGTTCCCCGATTCGCAGACTGACTTCTTTCCATTTAAAGTCAGGCTGCACGCAGGCTACTGTCGAACTAGCTCCATGTCAAATTCAGTTTTGTATGAAATATGGTGCATGGAACAGCAATTTTTGTAATTGTTTTTTAATTGACTTGTGTTGGTTTTTTCATTTTATCTGCGAACAGTTTTTTATGTGGAGGTAAGACCCTTCATTTTTACAAATTTTATTTTCTCGTACTGTCGTAGTTTTATATCTCACTCAGTTACTCTTTGCTTCACTTATTTGTGTTTCCACGCAATTACATGCATGATAATAGGATTTATCATTTCCTATATCATTTCCTTTATTTATCTATTTCTCTAACTTAAGTGAGTTGTTTTTCCCTATCCCTTTTCGATCGCTTCGTGACAATATGTGATTGATATAGTCAGACTAAGATTGATGAGGTTAATCAGTTAACCGAAACCACGAGGTCACCAGACCACGAGGTCACAAGAGCAAAAGAATATAACCTGACGAGTTTCTATCATGTCATGTTTGATGCCGTATTTATTTCAATGCCTTTTCTGGTCAGAGAGCTGTAATCTTGGACATATTGCTGGTTGAGACTATATACCAGTGTCCAATTCCCGCAAAAATTTTTGATTAATTCCCTAGCTGCATGCTAGGACAAAAGACAATATGGCATATTCATTTCAATGCCTTTATTAAAAGACAATAAATATGTCGATTGCACGTTGGTCAACAAAAGAATCTCGTGCATCATCTTTCATTGAAATTGCCATTAACATGGCCTCCTTTTTTATTGTCATTTACAAGTGATTCCCAAGAAATTGGTTTCAACCTGGAAATTACTAATTAGCCTAAGTTGACGAGTGTCTAAACCAGTATTAAGGTCCAGACACACCGGACGTGATTCGACAACGCGACGCGATTTTTTAGTTTTTGAAGGTTGATAAAACAGCCAATGAGAGCAAATTTTGAAAGATATGTACACCAAATAACTCAATAGGGCCATTTATACGGGACAAAATAAGTCGCGACTTACATAAGACGCGTCTTATATATAAGCGGAGTTATCGCATAAATGGTTCTCTACGGCTTTATTCTTATTTACTTGCTATAGCTATAATGTTATTTCAGTTGTTTTTGTTTTAATATGCAAAGCTAATAATTTTACGTTGTTTCAAGTTTCGGGCATGTGTAGTTAGAATTTTTCTCCAAAAATTCTTATTTAAGACGCGACTTAAATAAGAACAGCTAAAAGTCCTGTTCTTATGTAAGACGCGTCTTACATAAGAATTTTGTACCTTTTATACCACAAACTCGCGACTTATTTAAGTCGCGTCTTATGTAAATCGCGTCTTATTTTGTCCCGTATAAATGGCCCTAATATGTTATAGCGCTTCTAAATATTTGGAAAATTTAATCTGGATCTTAAAGCCAGTTTTCCACTAGCGAAATTTTTCGCGCAAAGCGACCTTTTTCCTTTGTCGGTATCCATTTAATTTTGCCACGTCTTGCTGACGTAATAAGTGATACCAGAAAGGAAAAATTAAGGTAGACCTGAATGTCCCTCCCCCAAAAAATGGACATACAATTGTTACAATCGAAGCGATGGTTAATCAGAAAGATCGCCCCTCCACATGGCTTTTAAAGGTAGCACCAATAATGATATTGTCACAGATTTTACATTTCTTCTTTCCGTATTTAAACATCCCTACGACCGTTTCCTCTTTTCTTATAGCAATTTAGAACGAATTAAGTGGTCTTTAAGGTTTAATTTTTTGACCGACGAAAACACACCATTGGTGTCTTTTAAAGGCCTTTGGTCCGCGTATAGTCACGAAGTTATGTTTATTATTTTCGTATCTAAATAAAAGACGTATTTCGTCAGTATATATACTGACGAAAATATATATCAATATATGCACGAATATTTTTTTAAATCGTATACGGTTATTTTATGCAGTTTTAAATTTTAGAAAATGACTTGTGTTGGTTATCTCATTCTTTTTGGGCTCAGTTGTGTGTTGTTTCCATGTGAAGGTAGGACTTTATATTTCCAATTGTGCAAATCTTATTTTCTCGTCATTTTTTCACTCACCCAGGATTTTGGCTGGGTTAACTAATGACTTAGTTTATTATTCAGGGTCTCTCAGAGAAATTCGGGGGCCCGGGGTAAATTTTTAAATCGGGGGCCCTATTTTTTTCGGACGTTTCCAAAAAAAAATTTTCCGGACAAGAACCAGTTAATTTAAATTAAAGTTCAAAATAAGTTTTCCGGATAAATACCTGTAAAAACACGGGTAAAACACATTTTTTCGGAGCAATACCAGTGAAATTTAGGCATAAAAATTTTTTCTCATACCATTATTTATATAAAAAACGTTCCAAATAATTACACCTTTTATGGCCCCCTAGCTTTTGCGCATTTTGGGGCTCTCTTTAACTGCGGCCCAGGGCCACAGGGGCAAATTGCCTCCTTTTCCCCCCTCTCCCCCCCTGAGAGGCTCTGTTAGCATTTATTTTGAGCCGAAGCAGGCGTGAGGGAAAGAGGCAAATGTTAATTCAGTTAAACGGCAGATGAATAATGTGATTTATAATGGTAACTACACTGAGTGGAGTGCAATTAAAAGCATATAAGCAGCCAAGAGCCTGGGAACGAAGTCGATAAGCAGCCACACTGCATCTGATTTACAAATGCATCGGTAATTAATCAAGTGTCTATTTTTGCGATAGGGTTCAGTTTTTAGCCGACACGATCGAAATTTAAGTAAATTAAGTTGATGTAAATTGGGACGACACCTGCATGTATTAGCCATTTTCTAATCGAGCAGAGAACTGGGTCTAGTCGCTTGTTTGGAGGGACAAAGAATAAACAATATGCTGAATATGGCATCTACAATCCTGGCAAAAACTAATGAAACATCCAGTTTGATTAACAATTTTATTTATTCTTCCCCCCTTCCCCCCTTCCAATGTTGATTCAGATGTGCAAGAAACCTACACATAATGCTTTCTGCCATCGATGAACTATTGTACACATTTTTTTAGAATCTATGTTCAACATTGTGCAGGGGGGAAGGGGATTTTGTCTGTTTTATTGATTTTTTATAGGTGTTTCATTAACTTTTTGCCAAGATTGTAGGACGTTTTCCTATATTCCTAAAGTTATTTGTGCAGCCTGAAACGCAACAATTATAATAAGGCATCTTTTAATATACATTTAGCTCGCTCACGAGAACTTGTTGTTCCACCAAACGTCCCTTCAAACGTTTCTCCAAACATAGACCCAGTCCTCTGCTCGATTAGGAAATATCTCATTAGATTTGTTTAATTGAACATTTCTTTTTAATTTTCTTCATGAATTATTGACTATTTTAATTATACGGTTTTGAGATACTTTCCTTAGCAATTTGATGGAGTCTGAATTAAACATTCATGAATTGACCTACCTACTGCCGTACTGACATTTTTCACAATTTGTGACGTGAATTTATATACTTTACCACCTACCGTTAATACATCAAGTGAATTGAATTGACTACGCGTGGAAAACATTCCATTAAAAAATCCGCTTTCTATATGGGCATAAGTTTATATTTTTTGCTCACTGAGTACGAGTTGTTTTGTTTCTATGTTGATTGTATCCGTTACTTTTTGGCAGGATGAATTCTGCTTGAATTTTAGATACTCGAAACTGACTCGCGCCGAAACACTCGTTATATGCATCATTTATATATAACGCGAGTGAAACAGGTTTACCTTGTTGGAAGATTTTTACGCTCTCATAAGTAGCAAGTCATATGAGTACTCAAAACATTCGCGTGTGTCAGCGTGTTAACCTTGTACCAGGCTCTTTCTTCTACGCTCTTATGCAGAAGAAAGTCCTGGGTATGAGGTTGTGCGCGTGACATGCTTGCTCGCTCGACTCGCAATTGGATTTTGTATTCAAGTCTGCAAGTTACGCCGGAATATTACTACTATAAGAAAGCTAAGAAATCACGCGATTTGGGGTGGCAATATAATAATGTTGGGTACTATATCGACAGGAAGGGAACAATTGTCTGGATTCGCCTAGCCTGCGAACAGGCGTTCATTTAGGTAGGCCTAGTAATAACAAGCCATGTAATTGCCTTTCTTAATTTGACGCCGTGTATATTTTTATCTAGCTTTACACATTTGCCACCCAAAACTGTGCAAGTCAAACAATTACGCGGAATTATGTGCTGTGACGTCACTTGCAAGGCTGAATAAGAATGGGGTAGAAACATATGCGGCTTTTCGCTCTTTGGCTTTGTGACAATATACTCTTCATCTTGAAATATTGGACATTTTTTGTGCTGTTTAGGTCAAATCATTCTTCCACCTGGTGGGAACAGCTTTACCGTTTTAAATGGATCAACTGTGAAAATTAAGTGGTCGATTGATGGTAGTGTTTCTGTTGCGGATATTATATATCGGTCTTGGAGTTTCAGAAGCAGTGTTGGTGGCAGAGCTGAAGAACTTGGTATAATATCTGGTGGTATAATTACGATAAGAACCAAGTTATATGAAGTTGATATAGAAAAACAAGCAACATTGGTTTTGAAAAACGTCAATGGAAGTTATAATGGAAAATACCAGTTTACCCTTTTATCACCTAGATCCAGTGCATCTGAAGTTGATGTTCTTATTGCAGGCAAGTTTTCATTATTGCTACGTCAAGCGCGTGCGTGGGGCAACACGCAATCGATCAAATGAATCGGCCGTATCAAGCAGTTTTATAAAAAGTTTGAGTATTTTAGTCAAGTATTTAACACACCTAGCTATTGGGCTGCCTATGGTTATATAGCTGTATAGCGAACTACAGCCATCAGTTGTAGTCAACCAATTCTAAAACGTAAAACTAAGGTGTTAAAACGTAGTGGTCAAAGTCAAAGCTCTTTAATTAATGTTTTAAATTAATTTTTAAAAAAAAGTTCGCCAGATTTGGATTGGATTAGGGTTAGACTAAGATTAGATTAGTATTAGGGTTAGCGGTTAGAGGTTAGGGTTGGAGTTGGGTGGGAGTTAGGTTTAAAATTAAGGCAATGTCTTAATTTGAACAATTAAGACTTAGCCTTAATTTTCGGAACAATACGACGATCATCGGCAAGAATTAATCTTCACAATTTTTCAGTTAAAAATGTGTTTCATAGCAATATATCTGCATATCTATCATCAGGCAATAGTCAACATACACATAATTACTGTAAATAAAATTATTGTCGGAAATAGCCAGGACCGCCGAGAAGGGGGGTGGGGGGCAGTGGGGCAAATTGCCCCGGGCCCCGAGGCTCTGGGGCCCCCTAGAAATTTAATGTTGGGCCCAGTCATTTTTCCAGGGAAATATTTCTGTTTTTGGGCCGAAAAGTTTATGTTTTGGGGGCAAAGTACCGAAATTTGCTATGGAAAATTGCGGAAAAGTCCCGACGAAAGTACTTGTCCGGAAAATTTTTTTACCTAAAAAGAAATTGTCCGAAAATTTTGCAATAGGGGCCCCCAAACAAATTTTTGCCCCGGGTCCCCGCCAAGCTCTCGGCGGCCCTGGAAATAGCTGGAAATGCACTTTCTGGGTTTGTAATTTTCAAAATCTATTCAAAATAGGAAGGTCTCATTGCCGACCCCTTACTGCACCTCATGGCTTAATACTATAGCCCCCACAATCGTAAAATCGCTGTGAGGTCCATGCCTTAAACCCACAAAATAACTCTTACTGTTCCTGATTTAACTAAATTTCAGAAAAACCAAATGTGACCATCAACTGTTCCAGTCGTATCACATTAGATGAAGGTGAAGACGGCACATGTGTATGTACAGAACAAGGTGGAAACCCTCCAGCCAATCTGACTTGGTATAGAGATGGTGAACAGATTGGTAAAGCAAGTTATGGAGAAAATAGATTAACTCTCACTAGTGTGACTAAGCAAGACAATGCGGGAACATACAAATGTGTGGCTCAGAGCTACACTCTAACCGATGAAAAATCAATTGAAGTGAAAGTAAGACTTAATTGTAAGTATGATTGTTATCAAAATCAACTGCCAATAACCTTAAAATAAACACATGGGCTCATCCAGGTATTAACCGTTCAACTTAGCAAACGTAAGTAATGCTTTAATCAGTATGGAATCGATGCTATGAAAAATGATTGTTATATAGTCTTCAAAACACTAGTTTCAATTTTTTTCTCCCAATATTTGTAGTTTTTCATTAGTAACAAGGAGGTTTTGGTTTTTTACAGTCAAACCTGACAAGGCAGCTGTTACGTTTACAAAGAACCCCGCTGTTGTTGGTGAAAGTGTTGCCATAATTTGCAAATCTAATGGTCTTCCTGAATCAAGCTATACTATGTTCCATAATGATACTAAGCTCATCAGTAATAAGTCAACATACACTATAGATGTTGTGCAGTACAGTGATGCTGGAACTTATAAATGCATCGCCAGGAATAAACTTGGAAATGATTCAGCTTCGGATAATTTGACAGTTTTTGTAGGTAATTTACCGGATTTTAGACGTATTTTTTTTCCCATTCTATGAGATCACCGGGGGAAAACACATATACAAGTTAGAACAGGATTAAATGCAAGAAAGGTTGCAGATACAACAAACACATACAATTGACTCTAACATTTTAATTATAGTACGTCCCATCTCTTACTATCAGCCTTCAGTTGATTTAATAATATTTTACACAATTAAAATTTCTGTATTCCCATTATTAGAGAATTGATTGCATGGAATCTTTGTTATCATCAATCAAATTTCAATTTAGGTATAAAATATATCTGCATATAAAACGTAGGAGCTGTTTTTGTTTCCATTTTCAAGAAACTTTTTATTTTAAATAAACAGCAAAGGTACCACCACCGACACTAGCATTAACAACGCCAAACCACAAAATCATGATCACGACCGGCACTACAAATGGTAATAATACAGGTAACAAAATACTATATGCAGTTAGTTTATTTTGAAGTTTGTTTTATATTCTGATAAGTTTTACTGATGCACAGTAACGTACAATATACTTTAACTATAGTCAGTTACACAGTCACCTGTGGAATTTTGTATTTTCTGCACTCTTCAACTAAATGTTCGCCATTTTGTTTTGGAAAGAGTCTCAAAACAAACAAACAAACAAACAAACAAACAAACAAACAAACAAACAAACAAACAAACAAACAAACAAACAAACAAACAAACAAACAAACAAACAAACAAACAAACAAACAAACAAACAAACAAACAAACAAACAAACAAACAAACAAAACCAAACAAACAAAACAAACGTTGCTTCTCTGTCTATCTATGAAGGCAGAGAGATAAGGCGCTTTGGTCTATATCTCCCGCGCGCTCTATACGCAACGGCGTAGCAAGAAAGAGCCTAATCCATAACCCTCTCCCAGCAAGGCATTCGGCACGCTGTTTCCCTGATATATGCTAATTCCAATGTCCTTTGTATACAGACAAAGCATCTTCAGATGACATCAATTGTGGAACTGAATGGTATATCGTTGTGGTATCAGTAGTGTCTGGGATTATCATGGGACTTTTTCTTGCATACATTGTCTCATGTTCTCGTCGTAAATTTAGAAACAGGAAACCTCAGTCAAATCCTGAAAAACAAACAACTGAAGTTGATACAACTTATCAAGAACTAGATCTTTCGAAAATGAACACAGAAGAAAATTATCAATCGTTGAGTGTGAATGCCGAAAGTAACGACGCTGCAAATGATCACGATGAGGACTCTACTTACACTGAATTGAGCAAAACCAGAGATGTGGAGAACAACTACCAATCTTTAACTTGAACCTGGAAAATATAATATGAATGTTAACTGAAAATGATCAACAGACAAATTGAAATACAATTCAGAACTCATAATTTATGATGGGTTTTTTTTTGTCAAAACAATCAATAGCAATGTCTGAAGTAATATATGAACAACGAGAGCGAGTGTTTCACCGGGATATCCAAACACGAGAAAACAATGTATGAAAACACGAGCGCGAAGCGCGAGTGTTTTCATACATTCTTTTCGAGTGTTTGGATATCCCGGTGAGACACCAGCTCGAGTTGTTTATATGGCTTCTCAAATGAATCGAGACGTAACAGAATGTTTTCGTTTGCTGATTTGAATAGAATTCTTAACCAAGAATAACGTAATTAGGAATTCTATTCAAGTAATTTTGCATGCGTAATTAAGATATTTGATGAAGACACTAGTGACTTTCATCAAGTATCCAAATGGCATCTTGTGATCAAATAGGTGATTATCATTGGCTGAATTACTCATGAATTATTAATGAATTTGAGAAGCCTGGTTCACATATACCTGCGTCTGCCTCGTTCCTCGTCGCTTCAGTTTCGAATAGAGATCAATGTGAGAACATTGGGTGGGCGGGGCTAATGGGAACTCGCGTACCGGATGAGGGATTGTGGAAGAGTCAGTACCTGCGGTTTGTCGGCCGGGGCTATTGTCGTTAGCAGTTCAACCAAATTCTTCACAAAAGAATGCATGCATCAACAGCTGTAAACAATATGTGAACCAGGCTTTAGTCTAGTTAAATTAAATTTAATTACTAAAATATATTGCTCTTGGTTGTTTGGGCGCAAAACGACACGTAATATTATATACGCACATGACAAATATTTTTGCATATAAACGTTAACTATAACATGAATATACCCTTCCAGACAAAGTACTTAGTCTTGGCTATATGCAGCCTTGTCTTCGCGAATAAAAAATATCGGCTTTGGAGCCCTGATCTTGTTACAGGCGACACATTTACGAAATCACATTATCACACAGTTATATCAGATAGTATCAAAAACCTTGATATGATTAAGTCATCGGTAATATAACAAGATAAAGATAGTCTAAAACAGATATTTGAATCCCAAAAACGAGCCTCTATAGCCAAGGCTAAGCACTTTAAGGTAGGTTGTATTATGAGTTCTCATTTTGTATTTTATCGGTTTCGTTTTTCTTTTACCCATAATATTTGTCTATACCCCCGCATGAGCGCTATAAACGGTGTCAAACTTTTACAAAATATGCTCTAATAGACTGTACTGCTTATTTCACTCTTCAGTCCAATGGCCTCGTTTTCATAATTTTAATTCGTGGTTATTTTATCACGTTTCGGTGCACAACGCGTTGAAGGATAGGTTTGTGACTGGGATTATACGAACATGCAAAGAGAAACATTCCTTCACCAAACATGAGGACATGACATACGCACTGAGATGTGCGTCTGCCGTGCCGAAACAAGCAAACATATGAGAAGAACGAGGCTATTGGGGCAAAAGTGCAATAAACAGTAAATATCAGCCTAGACCTAGGCCTTTACTCGGCTGGCTTTGGCAGGTTTGGTCAATTTCCGGCTTGCATTTGATAATTATCGCATCTCAGTCTTTTCATGTGAAAAAGCGCTGAATATTAAAAAATATAAATAAAAATAGAAGGCCTAGGTCTAGGCTGAGCAAATATATGTAATATATACAGCATGAGCGACCGTGTTCCATAAGATATACAAACACAAGTTGAAGGTGGTGTACATCTTATAATACATCCTGCGAATCATGTATACAATGTGTATAAAAAAAGGAGTCCATCCTTTAATTATGTTTAATTAATAATTTTGTGAACTAGTCTTTACAAAATGAAAATTTAGTCTTATTTTAAAACTTGTTGTTCTCCGCTTACAAGGGATCATCTGTGTCTTAATACAAGTAATTATGGCACAAGAGACGACAATTTAGTCGAGGGCATCACTTTTTTTTACTTATGCAATTTTAATACTTTTAATCCACCTGCATTCGCATTTGTATTCAAACGTTACGCTGCTCCACAAAACCATCAATGCGTGATCAAACTTTTACCTACTTTTATTGTTGTTCAGCTGTTAGTATAGTTATGCTCAATCATGACCGAAAGTAAATTGATGATAAATAGTTGTTGGATAAGGTTTTTGTGTTATTCAGAATTGTCGCAATCTCGAACCCTGAGCCTGCAATCCTCTGCGCATGGAGTCTTAAATTGTCGATGTCCGTAACCTAGCCTCGTTCCCAGGACGAGGTTGATCGAGGTGAGTCAGGTTGCACTCTTTACTGTTCGGAGTAATTTACTGTTTAGAGTATTCTGGATTTTCAAAACACTAAAGCCAGTTTTCCACTTCAAGCTTACCGTACCGTACCGAACACTCTTATACAGCCATATTTTCAAATATACTGTACTTTAACCGCAAATTTCAGTGTGCCGTGCTACAACAATTGTCCAGTCAGGCATGCGTGATAAAAAGATATTGTGAAACGTAACAGAGCGGCGAACAAGTAGATTCGGCCAAATAACAGTAATGTTCACCTCGACTGAGTTTGGGTAATGTTGGGATAGTAAGGCTCGCTCATGCACCACCTCACTGGAAAAAATAGTGAAATACATTATCAAATAGTATAATAAGCTCCCAGGGCCGTACGCATGATTTTTTACCAGGGAGCAGTAAGGCCTATATGCCGAAAAAAGTCCCAAATATCGAAAGAATAATTAATAATGTCATTCTAAAAATTGTAAACATCGTTTTCGCTAGAGGGGCAACTGCCCCCCCCCTGCCCCCCCCCCCCATCGCTGTGTACGGCCCTGTAAGCTCCAATATTAAGGTGTCCATCATGTGGAGATTGGA